TGCAAAGATAAGTGAGCAGTACAAAAACGATCCGCTCAAAATATTAATGGCAGCACGTCAGGCTGCAAAAAAGTCTCATTAGTGCGAATTAAGTTCATTCATTGCAACACGGCATTAGTGCATTGCATGCCTGGATTAAGGTTTTGGAAAGCTGTTTGCATATTTCGCACAGGAAAAATATTAAAAAGTGGAGAGTTCGCGCAGAAAATCTGTAATACAAGACATTTTGTGGAAGAAATTCGGATTGCAGGTGGAGATACCCAAAGATCGAGGCTGAGGAACCAGCAATGATGGTAACACAGCTCGTCGGGCATTTCAAAATCCAGAATTCTTTGAAAATTGCTTAGCTTTAAACACGGAACAATTCTCTAACTTCTCAACCATATTAATGACTTTATCTTGCCATCTGCCAATAGACCCTAGGAAATTTAATGTACTGTGCCATGAGACTGCAAACATTTATGTTAAAAATTACAATTGGTATTTTATGCCTGCGACGGTTCATAAAATATTAATTCACGGCTCTGCGGAATATTTGCATAAGAAGCTTCAGAAGCACGAAAGAAGATTTACAAATGCTATCGGGAGCGAAACAGTCGAAAAGCTACAATGCATGACATGTACTTGCGCTCTATCTGATGAATCCGATCCACTTGTTACGTCTCATAGCTTAAGTTTCTGAATACATAAAAAAAAAAGATTGCCTCCCATCTGCAGTGATCGCATTACTTGCAGTTCCAGAAACTCCTGAACCAATCTTTGTTAATACGATTGGGGAATTTGATGAAATGAATAGTGAAGATGATGATGACCGAGAAAATCGATAATTATATTCAACTTTGGATGAACTAGTTCTGTCAACTGAAGAGTAATGCATTTTTTTCTTTAATTTCATATTACTAAAAATAAACAAATGGAGCTTCTGAAAGCTGTAACCTCTTCGGGGAGAGCTCTGGAAACTGCAGATATTTACCAAAGTTTGTAGGCTAATGACAGGTATATGAGAGTCTAGTCCAGTAATCCTGAACTGATCCTGTCGCCATATCGGTACCGAGTTTCGCGAGAATATGTTCCGATTTCCATTTATGGCCACATGCAGAGTCATTCGTAACAACCAAGAATATCATTTTTTTTATTTAGAGTATTCAGCATATTGTATTTTATTCTGGAAATAATTTAGCAAAACCCAAAGAAAAATCACATACAATTCACCGCGATCTAGATACAAATTTTTTTAATACTGAGTAAACAATAACATCCATTGTTTATTAAGCTACAAAGCAAGACTCCCCCTAGAAATGTTCCTTTGGCCATAAAAACCTGTTATGCGAAAAATTTTCAAAATCTGCCAACGGAAAAGCGTGCGAAAGGCCCTAAAGTTCAGCCTTTTCATGCAATTTTTCACAAAGTGGTCAAAATTGCCTATAAGTCAGTGGGAAATTTAATATATTTTAATGGCACTTCATGCAGTTCTGCCCCCCGATGCCAAATATGGCTTACCTATTTTTAAATCTCTTCAATTTTTAAAGTTATTGAGGTTTTTTCCACGTAAAATTACAATTTTCTAAGCATTCAGAAGTTAAATTTTAGCCAAGTAAATTTAGATTAAATTGGTAAGAAGAAAAAAAATTTGTAGTAGCGAACTTTTGATGCAGTTTACTTCTATTTGACACCTAGATCATGGATCAACAGTCTCGCCCCTAAATTTCATACCGGAACATTCCGCTATCTTGGATTTTAGATTTTTTTTGGGGTTTTAGCGATTTGCAAGCTTATTTTGCATTTTTCGTAGAAAACGGTATACAAATTTGTAGAGAATTGAATATAAACTTAAAAAAAAAATCTTTTTTTTTTGTAAATAATCGGCAAAGCATGGGAAAAATTTTTGCGTTGTCACGGTTTTCGCCATTTCTCAACAGTTTCTGATAAAAATGCGTACTTAGCATATTCAAATGCCAAAGTTGTAGGGAACTTTTTTCTTTTAGTGTTGGGTTCTCCGGTGGCACAAAATTTGTAAAGCAAAATCTAATTTACGGTTAGTTTAGATGACATATTTGAGACGCTATGTTCAATGTTTTAAAAGACCTCACGGCTTTTTCCCAAAAAACCTCAATAACTTTAAAAGATGGGTAGGTTTAAAAATACTGTAGCTATTTTTTACATCGGGGGACAAAACTCCATCAAGTGCCATTAAAATATGTTAAATTTCCCATTGACTTATAGGCAAAATATTGACCGCTTGTGACTTTAGGGCCTTTAAAAATTTTTTGCAGGTCACGTTTTTATGACCAAATGAACCTTTCTGGGGGGAATCTTGCTTTATAGGACGAAGTTGCAAAATAAGGCGCAGGCTAGTGCACATGCATGAATATATTCATTGAATTATTTTGAAAAACTATAACTAAATAGGGGAGCGAAGAGTGTTATAGACCACAACTATTTATATATATCTATGTATATATATAATACGCGAAGGGATTTTTTGTGCAGCATAAAAGATCTGTACCGTTCGCCCGATTTTCTAAAATGAGATGTCAAATTAAAGCGATTGGTCTGTAGATGTGCCAACTGGTTTTAGTTTTTCGAAAAGAGTGGCCACCTGTTGAAAAATTAAAGTCAAATTATTTAATAATCAATGCCATCGAATCGCACCGTTCGTTCGATTCTCCAAAATGAGGCGTCAAACTAAAAGCCTTGGACTGTAGATGTGCATTCAAGGTTTTACTTTTTTGAAAAGAGTTGCCACCTTTTAAAAAATTATACTCACATTATTAAAAAGATCTATTATTACTAAATGGATATCAATCGAAATCTTTGTTTCTGAACTCATCTTTGAGAGGGTTGCCACCTGTTTAAAAATCAAATTCAATTTGTATTAAGGGAGTTAGTTAGGAGAAATATGTTTCAAAATATGGGTGCCAAACGAAAGGGGGTTTAGAAGGTAGTAGTTTGAAAATATTTTGAAGAGGGTGGCCACCTGCTTGAAATGCCGAAGTTAGTTAACTTATCCACAAGTTATATGAAATGTCAAAATTAGGATGTTAAACAAAAGACCTTTAAGAAATCTTTAGTTTGAAGAGGGTGGCCACCTGCTTGAAATGCCGAAGTTAGTTAACTTATCCACAAGTTATATGAAATGTCAAAATTAGGATGTTAAACAAAAGACCGTTAAGAAATCTTTAGTTTGAATACTAAAATTTTTTTTTGTGGTGTTGGAAGAGTGTTGCCACCTATTTAAAAAATAAATTAAAATTATTAAATAAGTTAAATTGAATTATTAAAATGCGGGTATCAATTGGATGGAGTTTGAAAAATCTTTGTTTCTGAACTATATTTAGCGGGGTTGCCACATGTTTAAAAAATAAAGGTTAACTTCACTCATCAGTTAATTAATATATGTATCGCAATGTCAGACGAAGGATATTTAAGAATGTCTTAGCGCAAACCACTTTTACAGAGGGTTGCCACCTATTTCAAAAATCGAAATTAATGAACTTCCACTGATACCTCATAAGTCTAAATTGGTAAAGTTTTGGAGGGAGTTATTCAAGTTTCTCTTATACAAATCTTTTAAAAAAGTTAAAAAACAGCATCTAAAATCTCACTATTATGATTCCGTTGATAAAAATTGTTAATATTTTTACGTAGATTTTTCAAGCATAAATTGTTTTGTCCTCTGAGGGTATTTTTTTCAAAAAATCCTTAAAGAAACTATTTTTATTCATGTAAACTCCATTTTCAGCGGTATTTTCAAACCGGTCCAGCTCACGTAAATCTCAATATTTTTCCTAAATATTTTGGTAGAAGTCTTTAAATATACTAGATTTTGTAATCTCGCTGGAAAAAACGCAACTTTTTTTGGTGATGCAGTCTAATATACATATCTATTGAAATTTATAAAACAGTTTCACTTAAAATTCAATACCATTTGGTGATTATACAATTTTTCGAGTGCTTACTTTAAAAAGAGACATTTAAAAAGAAAGGACCTAGGAAGCGAGCTAAGTTAGACTTAAGACAAGTAAACATTAAATATGCGTGTCATATCCGAAATAGTTCATGCTGCGAGGAGCTGCGAGTTCAGCTTCTATTATTTTTATTGACACACCTCCAGTTAAATTTATTGTAGTATTATTGTAGAGCTGATGAAAAAGACGCGAATATACACATAAAATAAATAATATCGTCGCCCGTGTGCCAGAAACATGAATGTGTAAAAATTAAAATTTTGAGAAGTTTGAAAATTTTTTACTATGTAGACTTAGCTGTACAATTATGCAATTGAAATTGCAAAATGTGTGGTTTCCGTTTATGAGAGTTTTAGTATAACATAGATCATCCAAAGGTTAAACAAGTCAACACAATAACTCAAAACTGATAAATTTGCACATTCATGTTTCTGGCAAAAGGGTGACGATATGCAAATTAAAATGGAAATGGAAGAAACTGTAGATATTAATGACTCGCGAATATATTCAATCTGATTCAGCCAAAAGTGAACGCTTTCTGGTCGAGATCGGTTTTCGATGGCAAAAGTCCTGCTTGCCTTAGCTCAGCTTTTGTTGTATAAAATATAAATCATGCATATAATTGTGTTGTCATTTTCAAAAGGAAGATATTGGAACTTCTTTAGTTTTACATACTAAAATATCATGGAAGTTATTACTGCATATCAAAGCATTTTCCAAAAGTTCAGTTTAAAAATTTCGAAATTTTGTTGAATTTTTCTAAATCTTGTATAATGTTTGAACTCCTATTTATATGGCATAGCTTCGGCTATAAAATGAAGAATATTTTTATAAAATATAACAAAACATTTTAACTTGAAAACCATTGTGAATATTTAAAAAATCAACATGTGAACGGTTGTGTGCATCGGACTAAGATTGATTTAGCAATAGCCGTATACTTTAGATATTAAGGAGGCAGTTTCTTTGCAATAATGCTTTTCCGAACAAGAAGCTTATCTAATTTCATACATGTAAATGATTTCTTTGCAGACTGGAACTGCGACGTCTAAACGCAACAATAATAGATGCGGCTGTTAAAGCTGAAAAAGGTAAATTCCTAAATTAATTTGTATTCACCAGAGTCATATATGTACATATACTATAACAAAAAACCTTGAAAGTCAATCAACACGGTAGAACAGCAAAAGGAAAATCCAAGAAATTTTAATTTGTACATGGTTTGTTTTGTCCTCCTGATTACGAGGATATCTTAATGTTTCTTTGGTCACGTCGAATTTATTTTTTATCGGGCATTGGAAGTTTTGAGGTTATATCGCACACCTAGATCTAAAGTGAGATCAGAGAGGGAATTTTAACTGCTTGTGGATCGTACAGATTCAATGCAATTAATACAAAAACAGGTATAACAGTAGTTTTTTTGTTAATGTATATTAATACTGTATGTTTATACTGATGTACTGTATGTTTATACTGATGTCTTGACAAACAAGAAAACGGTATAAACGTGGTAATAAAAATAGACCCATATTCCCATAATAATATTTCATTACCACGTTTATATCGCTTTCTTGTTTGTCAAGACATCAGTATAAACATTGCAGTTTAGTAAAAGTATATACTATAATTAGTGTTGATCAGTATCAGATACCAAAAGTACTCAGAACTCGATTTCTAAAAGGATCAACAGTACCCGATTTTTAAAATTATCTATACTGAGTACTCCAAAGTACTCAATACACACAGAACAACTGGAAAATACTCAGAACTTAAAAGAATTCGAAAGCACTTAGTACACACAAAAGAACTCAAAAGCATTCAGTACTCAAAAATACTCTGTTTCAATCATAACTTTGATGCATGAACTATGGATCGATTAAGTTAGATTAGAATACACCCAAGTAGCAGCTAAGCTAAGCTAAGCCAAGTGTCAATTTGGTACCATATACCTCGAATGAATATGTAAGGACCATCCGGCGTGGTTGATAAAGTTGAGTATGTTGTGGAAACTTATATCAGATAGCTCTAGTAACGATGGCATATTCTCCTAGCATGGTATATCTCCTCCTCATTAGAGCTGGTTATCTTCAAAGAAGGTTCTGTACTGTTTCCTGCTCGTTCTCATCTCTGCAGCTTCTACGTGGGTACCAAGCGCCCAGTGCTCAGTAAGAGTCGTTACAAGCCTTGCAACGTCAGATCTGAGTTTTATTAATAGGTTGTGTGTTCTCTTAGGGTTGTAAACGTGTCACATGAGTTTGAACATACGGCAGCCTGCTAGCGTGCGCCACCTTTGACCGGATTTCTGAAGATTGTGGATATATAAGGTACCAATTAAGGGTGAGATCCGATCGTCGATCTAGACCAATGTGGAACCCCCTGGATATTTGAGAAAATGGCTGCGCGCCCGCCGTGATATAAATCACTACGTTCTAAGAGACGGCAGCCTTCAGCTATAGTGAAAACCTCCTGGAAAACACTTGCAAAGTCGGGCAGCTGAATTCATCTTAATGGCAGGCATTCAGAGTAAACGCCTGCTCCAACTCCGCGTTCCCTTTTGGAGCCATCGGTGTACAGATGTTGTATCCAGGCAGAGATATCAAGTTCCCCGTCCCAGTCGGCTCTCGATGGAAGAATGACCCCGAAAGGCCTGTGAAACTCTACTTAGGTCGTATGTAATCGGTAGCCAGTCTCATCTTAGGTGGCAATCGTGAAATTATACTGCTATGCCCGATTGTTCTTCCTTTACATATACCCACTTCTCTGAAACTTATAGCCGATAGTGATGCGGTGTGAATTATGTGAAGGTCTATAGAAAATAGGTTTATAATAACATTGAGGGCATCCGATGAATGCCTAGGTTTACATTATTATACAGGTTCTTTAAGTCTTTCTACCATACCAGAGCACCGTAGCATAAGATCAGACGTACAACCCATGAACGAACGAATAAGAACCCAGGACGGCGTGCGAGAAAAAATCATTTTATTTTTGTAGTGACGGTAATTTTTTGCCGCTATGTGAATTAAACCATGCGAATGAAAGCGAGCCGATTAAAAAATGACTTTACAAATTTTTTTCTCAAATGCAATTACAAATACACGGTTGCCGTGCTGGGTGATCTGTTTAGTTGGATCATGCGCACAACCGCTGTGTACATCCAGAGTACCAGTTATGGATTAAGTGTCGAACAGTTACTTAAAAGTACCGAATTCTATTTACATTTACCAAAATTCAGAAATGATTGTGCTCAATAATGTTCAAGTGCAATCGAGCTGAGAGCAACCGGGCGTGATTTCAACAAATACCAGAATGAGAGTGCAAGACGAACTCGACAAGAAAATTATAGTTTAAAAAACTAAAACCTCCCTATTATAATTGCCATTCGTACTGTCATCAGGTATGTAACTTGAGAATAGAAATCGCTGCATCTTTAGGCGCATCAATATTACATAGTTACATCCCGAGCTAATAAACCGAAGGTAAAAAGAGGAAGCATCGAACAATGGGCAGTATTGCCGGTTTGAATTTGAAAAAGCATCAAGTTTTTTTTGGTGTATTTTATGGACTTTATATGCATACTTACCGTTCCCATATAACGGTAATTTTCAGAAATAAGAAAATATTTTAGTAACTACTGAAGATTATTCACTGAAAATTGATATTTACAATAAATTGTAGACGAAAAATAAGAATATTTTAAATTTTTGGAAAAATGGCATAGCCACGCCCACTTATGGTTACATGTGTATATCTTGGGAACCGCTGCACCAATTTTTTCCAAACTTGGCACGTTGTTGGTCTTGGTACAGCATACCAAATGGCCGAAAATTTTTAAAATCGTACAATAACCACGCCCACATCCTATATAACGGTAATTTAGAGAAATACAAAATCTTCGATAAATCAGTAAATATTAAAGCTAATTTATTAAAAATTGATGCTTGCAACAATTCTTCACCAAGAAATAGGTTTATGATAAAATTTTGGAAAATGGGCGTGGCACCGCCCACTTATGATCACATATATGTATCTCGGTAACCATTCTATCAATTTGTACCAAACTCGGTATGGTTATTGTGCTTGCCACATAAAAGCAAAACGTTGAAAATTATTGAAATCGGATACACCCCGACTTTCCATGTAGCGGTAGCTTTCGGAAAAGTGAAAAACATATATTTAATACTTGCGCCGGGTATTTAATGTTCGGCTCCTGCGATTTCTGATAAAATGGCTTTTTTAGGTGTTCTTGATACTGTCAGTAGTGAACTATTTACCACCTGGGGAAGTCAATAAAAAGTAGTGATGACGATATTTCACTACCGGTGATTTTATCACTGTGATTTAAAAATCGCTTTTAGTGACTGCTACTGCTAGGCCACAGTATCAGTGATTGGTGATTTTTCTACTTGCATGGTATTTCGCTGTGAATGAAAATCACATCTGGCAATAGCTAGTCAGCAGAAGTTGCGAATAGTGATTTTTCTCAATCATGGTAGACATGGTGATTTTAAAAATTTTAATTAAATATTGTGAATATGCTCGTATGTATCATATGTACATATATTCAGTTTTTTCATTAACGTTCCATGGTTGTTGTAAATGGCCATTTTCAATTAGTAAATAAAGCTTCAAGTATTAATAAAAAACGAAGTGAAATATGGCAATTTTTGAGCGCATAAATGAAGCTTTTACCTCTTTTCCCTACATGTACCAACACTGATTTGTCATCATTTATTAGAACTATTACACATTTCTGTCTTATTAAAAGAACTAGCAATAGATATAAAAAATCACTGTGATTAAAAAATCGCAATCACTCTTTTCACTGATACTGAAAAATCGCTATTTCGCCCATCACTAATAAAAAGAGGAAGCAAAAGGCTATTTACAATTGTTGTTGCTATGTTGCTGCAAAGCGTGCGCCGTTTAATACAAATTAGGAAAGACAATCCTTTCAGGTTTCCAATTGAAATAAATATAATTTGGCAGAATTTGTAAAAAGTAGCCGCTGTATTAATAGTTTCCCTAACTAACTGGCTTTTTTTTTTTTTTAAATTCAAATATGTATTTAAAAAACTACATTCAAACGTTTGCAATAAAACCACAAATTAAACATTAACCCCTATAGACTCCTCCGTCGTCAAGGGTTAATTTTTTTGGAAATGTGGAAAATCATGTTAAATCAATAAAAAATCACGTTTTATAGGTCATCTAAATTAATTTTTGCCAAAAAATTGGTAAAACTTTTCCTAAGTGCCTAGTTCGGGAAAAAAATAAAACAAAAACAATAGACCTAGTAGCTAATATTTCAATATTTTAAGAAATTGTTATATCATTTGAATATGTTTCTTAATGTTTATAAAATTATGTAATCCAAAACAAACAATTATAGATAAATATGGAAAATATTAAAAAAAAAAATCCTCGGTAATTATTATGAAAAGACTTTTATGCTTTTACATCCAAATTCATAAAAAGTAAAGAAGACTTTAACTGCTTTATAAATCGAAAATTTGCATGAAAATGCCACTTTATAAAGTACTTTAAACCTATTTTATTTTTTATGATAAGGCCATAAGCCTCGAACTAAAGAAATTTTTACCCGCTCATATTTATTTTCTTATGTCTTTCAACACATACAAAATTTTTATATATATCGCTCACAATTATTATGCAAATTATAATTTGAATCTCTAATACCAGTTTTTAATACTTCAACCATTTTTCACTAAATCATTATGAAAAGGCTTTTAGCATTTCAGTCTCAAAATAACGAGTCATCGATGAATTAAAATATGTGGCTCACTCACACTCACTCATAAGATTGGATGACTTTTTTTAAAACTCGGCCACCAAATAAATATTATTCTGGTTCTGTGGCGTTTACTTAAATTTATTATTGTTGCTTTTACCAGGAGCGAAGCCTTGTACGAAAGAATACTGTGCTCTTGGTTGTGTCTGCAAGAGTCTCGCAGACGACTATCCTTTACGCCAACATTGTGGGAAATCTAAGTGCGTCATAGAATGTACATGCAAAGGAACAAATCAATCTCGTATAATGCGCCTAGAGACAGATGTAAGTTTTTATTTAACTTAATTTTAGAATTAGCAATACAAGGAAAGTACATTTCGAAATACAGTAATACTTTTATTCGTCATATTAGGGGCGTTCGATCACCACCGAAGACGCATTTATGCTACGTAGAAAGGCTACTGCACGACTAGCACGTATGGAAAAAGAGTTCACATCCACTATTGTCTTGACAGAAAATGAGACTCTTCTCATAAATGAGTCGCAATATGATAAGAAGAGGCGGTGCACGAAAGCTCCGAAACGCTACGAAGACTTTGCCGATACTGACGACGACTATATAGGACGATCCGCGGCGATCATACCACCAAATAAATCCCAAAATGCTGCTGTAGTGTCAATTGAAGCAGCCACGGAATCGTCGCCGAATTCTGGTTTCTCAGAAACCACTACTGAGCTTCGCGAACCTATTTATGTCAGGGATAAAGAGTTGGAACAACTTAAGCATTGTACTATTCCATTGGTTCGTTTTGCAAGTACCCAAAATATGGCAGTGTGGTGTATGGTTCATGAGTTATATAAATGCTATTGTGGTGGACGTGCCACAGATGGAAAACCACTCGTCATTGAAAAGGATTCCGGTGGCCATACAACTACTAGTAACGACCAAGCTAGTTTAGGAAGTAAGCAAAATGTGCTGGCGGAAGAGGAATATTCATTTTCGTCAACAAAGGCGCGATATTCATTCGAAAAAGTGGAGGAAGAGGTAGAAGAAGAAGAGGAGGAGAACCAGGAGCAAAATAGAAGTAATAAAAAACAAACAGAAAAAAGAAAAAGTACTGACCGTAAAACTCAAGGCAGTGTTGTTAAATATATTAGCTCAGATGATGAAAGGAGTGAAAGTGATAGGGGAGAAGATGTGTCGGAAGATTCACTCTGTTCAGACTTTGAGGCAGAAAATCCCCGAGCGAAGAGACCAAAGCTTCTAACGAAACGTCAAGAAAGGCGTGGTCGTCCAAGTGAAATAAACTTTATTAATAAATATTTTAACACTGAAACTGATTCATGTCGGCGGGTGGTTGTGGTTCCTCGAAAAACCTACCTGCGTTTAAATCGCAAGCGGCGTGCGGAAGTCCAAGATTTCAAAGCTAAGCACGAAAGCAAACAAACTATGTTGTTGTTGAACGAACACATATTACGTTCAGTTTATTACCATAAGCACGAAGTCGAGAAGCAGCGAAAAGAAGCAACACAGGAAGCGCTAGCTCAATTCAATAAAAAACGAAAACTCCAAGAAGGAGACATCTCGGAAGTAGCTGATGGGCCCAAAAAAGGTGACATATATACTATTTTTTGTTAACACTTCTTTTTTATAACACTAGTTTACAGTAATTCTGACCTGTGGAGTTTTTTTGTCATTCACCGCACAAAATTTGTAAAACAGTTTTCGAGATATAGCAAGCTTAAACTTTTTGTTCNATAACACTTCTTTTTTATAACACTAGTTTACAGTAATTCTGACCTGTGGAGTTTTTTTGTCATTCACCGCAAAAATTTGTAAAACAGTTTTCGAGATATAGCAAGCTTAAACTTTTTGTTCCCATTGATGCTTAAAATTATATTTTATATTGTTCCTGGCTGCTGTACGATAGCCATTGTAGAATCGGTCGGAACAGAGCTCAACACAAACACAACCGCACCACAACAAACCACAATAGACCACACCACACCCACAACAGACCCCACAAGACATAACCGCACCACCACCCATACACCGCCGCCAACAACTCCTTGTTCCTTATACAATCTGCAAGGTGTGCCAGATCAGAATATTCCGTAACGTGACATCAGTCAAGTGCAACTCCTGCTTTGGCTGGTGTCACTTTAGGGCATGTTCAGGTCTGCGCATCACGCGGAATTGCACGAGGAACTTCGAGGCCCCGTGCTGCGCTGTTCGGTCGCTAGTCACAACTGCGACGTCGCCCACCATCACCACAGGGCGGCACCTTCAACACAAACACAACCGCACCACAACAAAACACAATAGACCACACCACACCCACAACCACAACCGACCCCACAACCGACCCCACAAGACATAACCGCACCACCACCCATACACCGCCGCCAACAACTCCTTGTTCCTTATACAATCTGCAAGGTGTGCCAGATCAGAATATTCCGTAACGTGACATCAGTCAAGTGCAACTCCTGCTTTGGCTGGTGTCACTTTAGGGCATGTTCAGGTCTGCGCATCACGCGGAATTGCACGAGGAACTTCGAGGCCCCGTGCTGCGCTGTTCGGTCGCTAGTCACAACTGCGACGTCGCCCACTATCACCACAGGGCGGCACCTTCAACACAAACACAACCGCACCACAACAAAACACAATAGACCACACCACACCCACAACCACAACCGACCCCACAACCGACCCCACAAGACATAACCGCACCACCACCCATACACCGCCGGCAACAACTCATTGTTCCTTATACAATCTGCAAGGTGTGCCAGACCAGAATATTCTGTAACGTGACATCAGTCAAGTGCAACTCCTGCTTTGGCTGGTGTCACTTTAGGGCATGTTCAGGTCCGCGCACCACGCAGAATTGCACGAGGAACTTCGAGGCCCCGTACTACGCTGTTCGGTCGCTAGTCACAACTGCGACGTCGCCCACTATCACCACAGGGCGGCACCTTCAACACAAACACAACCGCACCACAACAAAACACAATAGACCACACCACACCCACAACAGACCCCACAAGACATAACCGCACCACCACCCATACACCGCCGCCAACAACTCCTTGTTCCTTATACAATCTGCAAGGTGTGCCAGATCAGAATATTCCGTAACGTGACATCAGTCAAGTGCAACTCCTGCTTTGGCTGGTGTCACTTTAGGGCATGTTCAGGTCTGCGCATCACGCGGAATTGCACGAGGAACTTCGAGGCCCCGTGCAGCGCTGTTCGGTCGCTAGTCACAACTGCGACGTCGCCCACCATCACCACAGGGCGGCACCTTCCATAGCAGCACACACAGCCAAAGGCGCGCAGGCAACTCGCATCACTTACACCCCACAAAACAATAAGCTCCTACAATTTAACTGTAATCTCCACGATCCGTCTTTATGGCCCGGCATGGAATATTAATAGCTGCGGTCCAAGAGACGAAGTTTCACAGCAATTAAACTTTGTTGAATTGCCCCGGATACAATGTAATGGTGTTGGCCTAGCGTTCANCATAGCAGCACACACAGCCAAAGGCGCGCAGGCAACTCGCATCACTTACACCCCACATAACAATAAGCTCCTACAATTTAACTGTAATCTCCACGATCCGTCTTTATGGCCCGGCATGGAATATTAATAGCTGCGGTCCAAGAGACGAAGTTTCACAGCAATTAAACTTTGTTGAATTGCCCCGGATACAATGTAATGGTGTTGGCCTAGCGTTCATCACGCATCACACCGTGCAGTATCGTCTCATCGAAGCGGTCAGGCGATGTTAAGCTCGAAATATTAAACGTTTATATACCCCCTGTCACCAGCTGCCCGGGAGGATATCACCCTGAAATAGGTGCGCTCCTCTAAGGTGAAAACCGTATGGCAGTTGGCGACTTTAACGCACACCACGATCTTTGGCATTCAAACCTGTCGAACGATCACAGGGAACACACTTGGCTGAGCAGATAAACGATTCGACATCCCCCACAATGAACGACGACGCATCCACCAGGATTATGGGCAGCTGCTGCAGCTCGCCAGACATTTGTAAGTCTGATAAACAGCATAACGTGGCGACAACCAACTTCTTTATCTCGATTGATAAACCAGCCTACTTTGCTTCCGCGGAGCAGCGAACCTATGTCAACTTTTCTAAAGCTGATTTCAACGGCTTCGCGGATGTTACTGATAGCACCTTTTCTGCCCTCACCCCACCAACTGACGCTCACTTAGTTCCGCAGGGTTGTCACTGCTGCTGCAGCACGCTTCTTTCCAGCCGGTCTTATTACGGACCCCCATCCAAACTTTCCTGCTGAAGCCGCTTTTTTAGCCGATGAGTGTGACAACCTTCATTCCCACGACAGCCGGTTCTACGTACCGGAATGACTCGGGTTTTACCCGACCAAGGGCTGTTGTTTCGGCGATATGGACCCCGTTTAGGTCGGCGAAATCCATCAAACGTTGCTCGATCCTAGGGCTACACCTTCCCCGCACCCTTCTGCTCAGGGCTGGCATAGAGTCAAACCCAGGGCCAGAAATCTACACCTGCTTCGTATGCCAGAGACGACTGCATACAAACTCCACCTCGGTCAGTTGCAATGCCTGTGACGGGTGGAATCACCTCCGTAACTGCTCGGGCCTGCGTACGCACCGGCAATGGACCACGTCGTTCGTGGCCCCATGCTGTGCGAACCGGACCGCCTCCACCGCAAACCACCACCCGCCTGGGCAGCACACAATCAACACACCCACACCCCAACACAACACAACAATAGACGCACAAACACAATAGCACCCACACACCGCCGCCGGCAACTCCTAGTCCCTCCGTCAATCTGCTCTGTTTGTCAGTCCAGAATATACCGTAACGTGACATCAGTCAAGTGCAACTCTTGCCTCGGCTGGTGCCACTTTAGGGCGTGCTCAGGACTTCGCAACACACGAGATTGGACGAGTGACTATGTGGGCCCTGCTGTACATCTGGCTGAGCAGATAGACGATTCGACATTCTGCACAACGAACGAAGACGCACTCACCAGGATTATGGGCAGCTGCTGCAGCTCGCCAGATCTAACAATTGTCAGCGCTGGTCTGATAAACAGCGTATCATGGCGACGTATGCTGACTATAGCATCAGACCATCTGCCCATAGTCATCTTGATTGATAAACCTGGCGACTTTGCTTCCGTGGATCACCGGACTTATGTCAACTTTTCCAAAGCTGACTGGAAAGGCTTCACGGATGTTACGCCTTCACTGCACTACCCATACCAACCGACGTTCATGTAGGTGAACGCAAGTTCCGCAGGGTTGCCACCGCTGCTGCAGCTCGCTTCATTCCAGCAGGATGTATTAAGGATCCACGTCCGAATTTTCCTGCTGAAGCGGTTGTTCTAGTTGATGAGCGCGACAACCTTCGTCAGGCCGATCCCGCAAATCCCGGTATTAGGGATCTCAATTCGGAGATTCGGCAACTTGTGAACGTACATAAGTGGAAGAAATGGGAAGAGCATCTGAAGACCTGCAACTTCACCTCTGGTGTGAGCGAGCTTTGGTCAACCGTGAGGTCGTTGTCCAACCCGACGAAGCGCGACGACAGAGTCGAGATAGACTTTGGTGACCACGCTTCGTCGGACCCGGAGAGATGCGCGCGCTATTATAGCCTACATCCTTCGGTGGATAAAGCCAAACGTCGAGTGACCAGAAGGCTGCACAAAATGCCAAAACCTAGTGCGCCTCTTGGTTTCACCAGCGGTGAGGTAAGGGTAGCCATCGGGAAGGGGAAAGCCTCCAAAGCCATTGGACCCGACGGAATATGCATGTTGATGCTGAAAATTTGGGTCCTGCTCAAACCGGGGAAAGCAGCCAACAAAGGAGAGTCTCATCGCCCGATAACTCTCCTTTCCCCGGTAGCGAAGACACTCGAGGCCCTGCTGCTCCCGTACTTCACGAACCACCTGACCCCAGCGAAGCATCTACATGGTTTCCGTAAAGTGCATAGTACAACAACAGCACTTAACGCCATAAACACTCAGATAACTCGTGGCCTAAACCGAAACCGCCTCTGTGAGAGAACTATTCTAGTAGCGTTGGACCTGTCTAAGGCGTTCGACACTGTCAGTCATTCAACGCTACTAGAAGATATAGAGGCCTCTTCACTCCCACAGGGACTCAAACGGTGGTCGGCGAATTACCTGAGTGGTCGACACTCGTCAGTAATCTTCAGAGACAAAACCAGCAAGCCACGTAAAATTAAACAGGGGGTACCACAGGGTGGTGTCCTGTCCCCGCTACTGTTTAATTATTACATATCAAAGCTTCCTCAGCCACCAGAGGGTGTTAATATAGTCTCGTATGCTGACGATTGTTCGATCATGGCGTCTGGGAATGGAATTGATGACTTTGCTCAAAAGTAAACGGTTACCTCTCCGAACTTTCTCGCTTCTTCACTGCAAGGAGCCTTGCCCTATCCCCTGCGAAATCCTCGGCAACCCTTTTCACCACCTGGACGAAGGAGGTCAGACTGCCACTGAGTATTCACGTCGATGACGTAACAATACCGACGGTGAATAACCCGAAAATCCTCGGAGTTAGCTTCGACAGTCTGTTCTCCTTCTCGGCGCATACAACCACAATTGTCAACAAAGTACAGAGCCGCAACAATGTACTCAAGTCGCTGGCCGGCAGCACTTGGGGCAAAGATAAAGAAACGTTGTTGGCAACATACAAGGCAATTGGCCGGCCGGTTCTGAACTACGCAGCGCCCGTATGATCGGCGGGAACTAGCAGGACGCAGTGGATGAAGCTGCAGACCTGCCAAAACACGGCATTACGAACTGCGACAGGATGCCTCCTGATGACGCCTCAACACCACCTTCACGACGAGGCCCAGTTGCTCCCAGTAAAGGAGCATAACATAATGCTCTGCAAGCAGTTCCTCGCTGGGAGCCACAGACGTGGCCATCCCAGCGGGCAACTGCTCGCGGAAGAGCCCTCGCCACGGCACGTCAGGAGGCATCTTTACGAACTGACAGACGAAGTCCAGAGGTATATTTAACAACCTCTGGACCCGTCAACCTACCGACAGGCCCTGAACGGCATTCACAGGGAATCAGTCTCAAGTTATGTAGACTCCCGCCCTGTGAATGCCGTTCTAGGCACACAAACACCGGACGTGGACGGGACAGAACTTTGTCTGCCTCGGGAGATCCGCACTACAATAGCCCAACTTCGCTCTGGCTATTGCAGCAGGCTCAACAGCTACCTGAGCAGAATCAACGAGGATGTGCCCAACCAATGCCCGGCATGTGGAGAGTCGCCACATGACTCCCGGCACCTCTTCACATGCCCTGAGAACCCCACTCAGCTAACGCCCCTGTCAATATGGACAGCCCCGCTGGAAGTAGCACACTTCCTGGGCCTCCCCCTAGCTGAAATAGACGACAACGTTGATGGATGAACCGCCCCGAACGGGGCTTAGTAGCCGCTACAATAACAACAACAGCAACCTTCGTCAGGCCGATCCCGGAAATCCCCGCCTTAGGGATCTCAATATGGAGATTCGGCAGCTTGTGAACTTACTTAAGCGGAAGAAGTAGTAAGAGCATCTGAAGACTTGCAACTTCACCTCTGGTGTGAGTAAGCTTTAGTCAACCGTGAGGTCACTGTGCAATCCGACGAAGCACGACGACAGAGTCGAAATTTCTTTCGGCGACCATGGCTCGTCGGAGCTATATAGGGATCTGAAGAGGGAAGCGAGACGTATTTGCCGCAACAAGAAGAGAGAGGCCGAAATACGTGAGTGCGAAGAGCTTGAAATGCTGGCCGACAGGAGGAATGCCCGAAAATTTTACCAGAGAGTTAG